CATGCCGCTCCCCCCACCCCCTGAAGTGTGAGGGGAACAAGAGGTCTATGTAGTCAGTGCATGTTACAATATAACTGGGACTTTGTGTACGCTTAAAAGTTTAAAGCGCAGCCGCCTTTGGTAGGGATGTAAAATGTGTAACTGTTGAAATGGTTAACTGAGAAATATCAGCTTAGAATACAAGAATGGCCAGACTGGGTCAGACCAAAGGTCCATTTAGCCTAGTGTCCTGACAGAGGCCAATGTGAGATGCCCCAGAGGGAGTGAACAGACCAGGGAATTAAGGATGTTAAGTATCCGGTAATTGCATAGTCAATGCATTTTGCATCCACTATTCGATTAGTTGATAGGGCGCCTCTGAAACCCCCCTCCTCACGTTCTTCTGATTTTGGCCTTATTGTCTTGCAGTCTCTCAATAATCAATCCGTCCTAAGTGGTCCCCTTTTTTTCAGCAGGGAACTGTGTGCATAGAATGGTGGGTCCCTTGGGGCAGAGAGAACCATCGGAAGAAATGTTCCCTCTAACCTTTTCCATTCATGTGCGGATTAAAATTGTATGTGCACCAAGGCATGTGTGATGTGCACCACCAGTAAAAAACAATTGCTGTGGAAGCCCTGCTAATCAGTTGGGCAGCATTTGAATCTCTCCTGAGCGGTTGCACAAATGCACAGCTTACAGGGAACACTGATATGAGGTCTTGCATGGGTGGTGGGTGAAGATAGGGCTGGAGGAAGCAAGCCCCTAGCCCCACCCCTTCTGCCCAGGCTCACCCTCCCCCCTTCCCCAACAGGAGCCAAGCTGCCCCTCCTCCATAGCACCATGGGGAAGTGGAGCGGCATGCTGCTCCAGCCTCTCTGACCCTGAAGCACCAGGGAGGGAGGAGGGTGTGTAGCTCCAGGCTCCCCGAGTGGCATGTGGCCCCAGCTTCCCTGGCCCAGAACACAGGGAAAGGTGGGCGCTTGGGGGGCAGCAACGCTCTGCCCCCTCTGTACGTCCACAGGAGGTGTTCTGGGGGGCAGAGTGTGGGCGGGGCCAGGCTGGCTCTTTGGGAAGGCAATGTCTCCCCCTTGCCTAGCATATCCACCCACCACCCAGCCTGCTTTGCAGCCTCTGTTGCTGCATCTTTATACTGTATTGCTGCAGCTGTTTGCGATGACTGGGTGGGGTTTGCTCATGTAGGCAGGGCCGCCTGGAGGCAAGTGTTTCATACATGTACCGTGTATGTGGACCTAACGGGGTTATGGCTAATACGGAGCCAGCTGGCCAGTGCTGATTTGAAAAGCGTATTGCTACCTCTCAAAGCCGATAACTCTGGGCTTAGTACATACCAGGCCAAAGAAATTTAGGCTTGATCAGTAACATTTTAAAGTGTGGCCACAGCATGAATGCTGGAAGAAAGCTCTCCAAGTGCTACTCCTTTCACACTTGAAACAAAATACAGGACTATGTAGCACTTTAAAGACTAACAAGATGGTCTTTAAAGTGCTACATAGTCCTGTATTTTGTTTCAAGTGTGAAAGGAGTAGCTAACAGTTCGGAGAGCCCGGCTCCCAGTGCTGTAACCTGGTTCACACGAGTGCTTTGCAACGCTGTAACTTGCTGCATTCTGGGGATAGGAGGTGTGTGTGTGGGGGGGTGTTTTTCACACCCCATGAGCCAGAAAGTTACAGCACTAGAAAATGCTTGTGTAGACTTGGCCTTAGTGTTAGAAAAGGTCCAGTCACCTATTCCTTGGTAATTGTGCTGCTAAATATACCAAGCAAGCAAGCAGCTTTGATCTACAACTCTTACTCATGTAAAAACTGGCACTAATACCTTACTGCTGAGGCAGTGCTGTCCTTCGTCACATTTCTGTAAAAAATAATAATTGTTGCAGTTCTGCAGGGAACAGAAGGTATTCCCCTCCCCCCCACCACCACTTTATACAGTGGATGAGCAGAAAAACAGATGGTGCAACTTTGAGTAAGTTGTTTAACTCCAAAATCCAGGCTGATTCACTGGAGATATATCACTGGAGATATTTAAGAGCAGGTTAGACAGACACCTGTCAGGGATGATCCAAACCAGTGTTTCTCAATCAGTGGTATGAGTACCCTATGGGGTACTCAAGAGAAATCTGGGGGGGGGGGGGGTACGTCAACACAACTGAAATTTGGAGAAAACTGAATTTTTGTTTGTTTTACAGCGCTTTATTATTTTTGTACTTTTTACACCCAAAAATTTCATTGCCCACCTGGCTATGATTAAGTTGTTTAAACAAATGTGTTGCAATGGTAGAAAATTTTTTGGTGTGTCTGAAAACTGTAGGTACTGGGGGTACTTATAATTTTTTTT